ATTACAAATTCAGTTTGAAAATAAAATATGTACAGTACAGAAACTTTCTCTTCGATCCTTATTGGTAAGCTCTAAATTTTCAAGAATAGAGAACTTAAAAGTGGAAGTCTTACGGGAGAATGACGAGGTTCCACAGCCAAGTCTCGGGAAAGTTGGTCCTTGGAGCGTCAGCCTCTGTATCACTGTCTTCCTGCTCACTAATACTTGTGGCAGTGGGTACTGATGGAGTCGTGGTGAGTAGAGGAGGACGACCGGTAGTACTAGGAGCAACAATACCACCAGCAACGCCAGGAACGCCAATACCACCTATCCCCAGATGATAATACACTGGAAAAGGAAATACGTCATTAATGTATTCATTAGTTAATTTATATTTGAACTTAAAGGCCCCAACAATTGTGTATTGATAAATACAATTAAGGTGCAACATCATTACATTGTTTTTTAATTAAATCTTTAAAGCAATAATTTAACCAATATTCTGTTTGATAAATTATTACAAATAATAATAATAATAATAATAATAATAATAATAATAATAATATTATTATTATTATTATTATTATTATTATTACTATTATTATTATTAGTAGTAGTAGTAGTAGTAGTAGTAGTAGCAGTAGTAGTAGTAGTAGTAGTAGTAGTAGTAGTAGTAGTAACTTTTAGAAGTGTTCCCTCTAAATGTTACTGTTCTCTCGCGAGTTTTGAACCAAGTGTGAGATTACTTGTGGTTGGGGATTTCAATTCTAAAGTGGGCAAAAATGTTGTGGAGGGAGTAGTAGATAAATTTTGGGTGCCAGGGGTAAATGAAAATGGGGAGCCTTTATTTGAGCTATTTGCAGAAAGAGGTTTGGTAATAAGTAATACATATTTTATGAAGAAGAGGATAAATAAATATACAAGGTATGGTATGGCACGTAATGAAAGTAGTTTGTTAGATTGTGTATTGGTGGATAAATGGTTGATGGGTAGGCTCCAGGATGTGCATGTTTATAGAGGGGCAACTGATATATTTAGTTGTAGCTACAATGAGAGTAAGAGGTAGATGGGAAAAAAAGAAAATGGCAACAACAAGAGGGAGGTGAAAGTGTATAAACTAAGGAAGGAGGAAGTTCGGGTGAGATATAAGCAACTATTGGCAGAAAGGTGGGCTGGTGCAAGTATGAGTAGTGGGGGGGTTGAAGAGGGTTGGAATAGTTTTAAAAATGCAGTATTAGAATGTGGGGCAGAAGTTTATGGTTATATAAGGGTGGGTGCAGGAGGAAAGAGGAGTGACTGGTGGAATGATGAACTAAAGGGTGTGATAAAAGAGAAAATGGTAGTGTATGTGAGGTTTTTTCAAAGCAGAAGTGTTATAAGAAGAGTAGAGTATATGGAGAGTAAAAGAAAGGTGAAGAGAGTGGTGAGAGAGTGCAAAAGGACAGCAGATGATAGAGTGGGAGAGACATTGTCCAAAAATTTTAATGAAAATAAGATAAAATTTTGGAGTGGGTTAAACAAGTTAAGAAAACCTAGAGAACAAATGGATTTGTCAGTTAAAAAAAAAGTAGGAGAGTTAGTAGATGGGAAGATGGAGGTTTTGGGTAGATAGCGAGAATGTTTTGAGGAACTTTTAAATGTTGATGAAAAAGGGAGGCGGATATTTCATGCACTGGCCAGGGAGGCATACCATCTTTTAGGAGTGAAGAAGAACAGGATGGGAGTGTGGGGGAGGTGCGTGAGGCATTACACAGAAAGAAAGGGGGTAAAGCAGCTGGAACTGATGGGATCAGGACAGAAATGTTAAAAGCAGGGGGGGATATAGTGTTGAAGTGGTTGGTATTTTTGTTTAATTTTTGTATGAAAGAGGGGAAGGTACCTAGGGATTGGTGGAGAGCATGTATAGTCCCTTTATATAAAGGGAAGGGGGAAAAAGAGACTGTAAAAATTATAGAGGAATAAGTTCACTTAGTATACCAGGAAAAGTGAATGGTAGGGTTATTATTGAAAGAATTAGAGGTAAGACAGAATGTAGGATTGCGGTTGAGCAAGTAGGTTTTAGAGTAGGTAGGGGATGTGTAGATCAAGTGTTTACCTTGCAGTATATATGTGAACAGTATTTACATAAAGTTAGGGAAATTTTTATTGCATTTATGGATTTAGAAAAGGCATATGATAGAGTGGATAGGGGAGAAATGTGGCAGATGTTGCAAGTGTATGGAATAGGTGGTAAGTTACTAAATGCTGTAAAGAGTTTTTATGGGGATAGTGAGGCTCTGGTTAGGGTGTGTAGAAGAGAGGGAGACTACTTCCCAGTAAAAGTAGGTCTTAGACAGGGATGTGTAATGTCACAATAGTTGTTTAATATATTCACAGATGGGGTTGTAAATGAAGTAAATACTAGGGTGTTCGGTAGAGGGGTGGAATGAATTACGGGGAATCAAAATTAAAAATGGAATTGACACGTTGCTTTTTCGAGTACTGTTTATGTGGAAATTCCTAAGAAAAAATTGAAAGGTTGGGGACGGTTTGGGAGTGTGTGTAAAAGTAGAAGTTGAAAGTGAACATAAAAAAAGAGAAAGGTGATGGGTTATCAAATTTTAGATAAAAAAAAAAGGGAAACAAATTGGGAAGGGGGAATGGAAGATGATACACAAAAAACCCCGCACAAAAAAAAGGAGAGGCTTACGACGACGTTTCGGCCCGATTGGCCCATTGCAAGTCAGTGAATGTTTCAGAAATTTTGGGAGTTGCGGTCGGCGGTGGTTTTATGAAGGAAAAGGTTATATAGAATTGATAAAGGGAAAAAAAAGGGAGGGTGATTGGGTACATGTGGAGACAAAAAAGGGGAATAGAAGTATATTTGTACCAACATTTTTTATATGGGTGAGAAGCTTGGGTTGTAAATGTCAGCTGGAGGGGGTTAAAGGGCAGTGGAGGTTTGTCTCAGGGAATGTGTGGGTAAATTATGCGAAAATTCGGATTGTGGGATTGGAGAAGGTGTGGAGTTAAAAAAAGATTTTCAGAGGGTGAAAGGGGTATTTGAAGTGGTTTGGTCATTTAGGAAAATGGTCAAAGTTGATAATGGAGAGGGAAAAAAGGGGGGTAGGGTGCCCTTTGAAAAGGTTAAAAAGGAAGGGGTAAGGGGGTCTAGGGGAGGGGCTTGGATTCGGAAAGCGTGCGTGGCGTATTCGAAAGGGTGAATGGGACGATGGTATTTGGGACCTGACGAGCTGTAGGGGTGTGAGCAGGGTAATATTTAGTGAAGGATTCAGGGAAACCCGGTTTTTTTTTTATACCCGGATTGAGTCTGGGATATTAGCGTTTGGAGGGATATGTTGTGAATCTTTTACTTAGTTTTTTTGTGTTGTATTTGGGCACCTTGCAAAAACAGGATTATATTGAGGGGTGAAAGAGTCGAATGATGATAAAAGTTTTTTTTTTTTTTCCCGGGATTTTCTTTCTTTTTCGGTCCCTGCCTCGGTGGGAGACGGCCCCGTTTTGTTGACAAATATTAATATTATATTTTTATATATATATATTATATATATATATATTATATTATATATATTTATATATAATATTATTAACATTATTATAATTATATATTATATATATTTATATATATATATATATATATATTATATTTATTTTTTTTTTTTTATTTTATTATCACAGGGCCGTTCCCAAAAAAGGCGGGGGGTTTGGCCGAAAAAGAAAAACTTTCACCATCATTCACTCCATCACGTTTCCCGAAGGGTGCTTTACACTACATTTTTAAAACTGCAACATTAACACCCCCCCTTCAGGTGCAGGCACTGTACTTCCATCTCCAGGCCAAGTCCGGCCTCCCGGTTTCCTGAACCCCTTCTAAATGTTACTTTGCCCCACTCCAAAAGCACGTCAAGTATTAAAAACCATTTTCTCCTTCATCCTTCAAACCGCTCCGCATGCCCGCTGGGAAATCCCAAACCTCGCACACAAAACTCCTTTACCCCTTCTCCAACCTTTTTCCTAGGCCCCCCCCTACCCCCTCCTTCCCCCTACAGCTGATACATTTGAAGCATTCTGTTTCGTCCCCTTTTCTTACTGTCCCAACCCCCTCAACAAACCCCTTTCCCCAGCCCTTGGACAACAGTTTTGGTAATCCGCACTCCCCCTAACTTCCAAAAAACGAATTTTCTGCATTATATTCACACCCATATTGCCCTCAGACATGACACTCCATGCCCAGCCTTCTCCTCGCTGCAACATTCATCACCTGCTTCCACCCAAAAAAGAGGTTTGGTAAAAACTTACCCAAAAATTCCCCCCTTTGCCTCCCAAAGGGCAAAGTTTTGTCTCCACAGACTCCCAAGTGCACCCCTCATCTTTTCCCCCTAATTCTATGATTCACCTCATTTTAAAGCCCCTCCCCTGACAGTCCACTCCAAATATTGAAACTTAACTCCTCCCTACTCTCCCCCCCAATTCTGAATTCAATTTTCTAAACCCATCTTTTTTTTATCCCCATAACCCTTTCTCTTTCCCGTATTCCCTTTAATTTTTTTTTTTTGCACACCCCTTTCCAATTCATCCCCATTTTCTGCAACGTTCTTCAGATTTCCCAAAAGCACAGTGTCATCAAAAAAGAGCAGCTGTGACAACTCCCACTTTGTGTGTGATTCTTTATCTTTTTTAAATCCACGCTCTTTCCAAAAACCCCGCATTTATTCTCTTAAACCCCCTCTATAAATATATTTTAAAAAACCCGGGGGCTACACCCTTTTTAAAGCCTACTTTTTTCTGGGAAAAAATTTCCCCTTTTTTACATCTCTAACTTGGCCCCCTATCCTGTTAAAACTTTTCCCTGTTTTTCAGAAACCTACCCCCTACACCATCATTTGCAACTTCCCACATTGCCCCCTATCCCCCCTGTCTATGCCTTTTCCCAAAATCATAAAGCCCAAAGACCTCTTTACCCTTATCTAAATATGTTCACTTATATGTTCACTGAAAAACACTTGGTCACAACCCCTCCCTTTCCAAAAGCCCCCTTGTTCATTGCTTCTTTTTCCCCGTTTACTCTTAATTCTTTAATAATAACTCTACCATACACTTTACCGGGTATGCTCAGCGATTTATCCCCTTAATTTTTGCACTCTCTTTTACCCCCTTTCCCTTTATCAAAGGGAAAATATGCTGTCTCTGAAAATCCTGGGGACTTATCTTTTCCCATACATTTTTAAATATTGCCCCAAACCATCCAAAACTATATCCCCACTGCTTTTAACTTTTTCTATTTTTACCCCTCAATCCCGGCTCCCTTCCCCCTTTCATTTTCCCTACTGCCTCAGAACTTCCCCCAC